AAAAGTTGTAACAAATTACATTGAATACAAGCGTCAAGTAACGCTTTACATTTTATTCCACAGTATCTTTAACTCGCTGACTATACCATTTCGTATTCAAAACACGCTAGCACACTAAACAAACAGACGGCACTTAGGGACAAAGATATAGCTAAAAAGTCAATGTCCCTATCCTCTTAATTTGGTCCCTTTCGGATCGACTCTCCTTTGGACCTCACTTGAATCCAGACAATTTACTTACCCCACAATATTCCAGTCACAGGTCTCGCTACAACTGAATTTTTAGAACATTCGCGTTCAATGTTAAGTATCGAGTTGAATTTTAAATATTTATTGAAACTTTACTTGTACCTACATATCTACTTGAAATACAACTGGATGGACCGATGACCTTTAGAGGCGACACTAAGAATTGCAATACTGTAAAATACTTTCACTTAATTTGGTAATCGAAGCCTCTTGTTCAACTTTGGCACTTAGGATCATTGATACACAAACTATTGTTGAATACACCATCGATTTTCGTATCATTCAAACAAACATGTACCAATAACTTTGGACTACAATAAAATGTCTGCACTATTAGATAAACAGAAATAACCTAGTTGTATACTATTTCATAAATAAAAAATAAACAATAGTTACCTACTCAAAACAAAGAGCAGACAGTTTTTAGCACAAATCTTATTAATATTCCTACATTATTGCTTGAATCCAATTCGGAATTGCATGTAGTATATTTGCACAACTGTGCATATAAATTGTGCAGATTTATGAGTGCACAATTTATCTGGGATTCAATCTTGTATGCATATTGCACAGTTCGTTTAATCAACACTACGGTGTAATAAATTCTGGTATTGTAATATATTCGGTGCTGGCAAGACCAAACTTTAATACAGTAAAATGCTTGGAGTCTTTTCAGTACTCTATTTATGTGCTTTAATATTTTAAACACGCATACTTAATAATTAATTTTCCTGTGGACATTGTAAAAGCACATTATTTGAAAATGTACCTTTCCCGTAGACTTTTAAAGTAGACCTTCAAAACGGGGTGGGGAGCAGTATTAAAATTGTGAATTTTAAATAACTGCTTTGCTGCAGTAGAAGTATTTGTCCTTATTAGTATGATTAAAATATAAAGTTTAATATACAATAGATAATTTATATAAAAATTGGAAGAACAATTTTGATATTGGTTTTCATTAAATCATTGTTTCACGGGGAAATTACCTCGTGGTCAGACCAGTCGCTCACGCTTTATTTGATTTCCTTTCTCTGTTTATATTACAAAAGAAAAAATATAGATCGATTGCAACCAAGACAAAATCATGAAACCACGACGAAATAATAAAATATAGCAGTAAAATATGTACAATGTCATTCTTCAACAACAAAGCTCCGAAGAATCATTTACAGGGATGAAACGAACAAAGGGATCTTATAAGATTTCTCATAATTCCACTACAAAGAATAATAAAGACAAAAAGCTACCAATCATAAGTACTTACAGAATGAAATATACATTTTTTAATAATATATTTTAGTCAAAATAATAGTAATATAGTCTCTTCTTCAAATAGGCTTATTTATCTTTTATAATAGGGGGTTACTGTCATTATTTTAAGAACTGTTTAATTTGAAGGCTTCGTATCATCACTACATAGTATAAAACAAGGTCGCTATCCACCGTCTGTCTGTCCCTATGTATGCTTAGATTTTTAAAACTACGCAACGAATTTTGATGCGATTTTTTATAATAGATACCTAGAGTGATTCTTAAGGAAGGTTTATATGCATAATAAATGCATATTAGACCCGTGCGATGCCGAGGCGGGTCGCTAGTAACTGATAAATGATAATATAACAATCATGTTGAAATATTTTCTACTTCATACGTCTCAGGTAATGAATTTGATTCTTCCTCTTGGCCCCTAATATATGCGATAGGTATATCTACCTAGAAACTTATACCAATAAAGTATTTATGAGGATACATGGGTACAAATTTAATTTATTACATACTAAGGTACCTACACCTTGATATTTACGTACATAACTTCTGAGCAGTCAAAAAATAAACGCATCCAAAGATTTTTATGATAATGTTCAAAGAGGAATGAATTCTTCCAAAATTCTTGTTTTGATCACCTCAATTTTATGAGCCACTCATCTTACGATGGACATTCCGATACGAATTTTATTTTTAAACTGTAAGTACGATTTTTGTTTATCTAGTCCACGTTTGTACGAAATAAACTTGTTCTATTTCCGTTGCCATTAAATTCTTAGATTACACAACGCGTAGATCATTTTGGTTCCATAATTTTGTCTTATTTAATAGAAAGTTTGAAAACCTATGCTTCATATTCTTTGCCACAGTGCGACGTAGCATGAAAAAACTGTAGGAAGATTAGGTATTATCAGTAATAGTATTAATTGTACAGAAATATGAATTATGGTCGACAGTGATGCATAATGTCTTTCCTAACTTAAATAGAAAATGGAATACAGTGTAACAAGTAATTTATATATATAAAAATGAAACTCGTTTCCCGTTGTCACGCCATAACTTGAGAACGGCTAGACCGATTTGGCTTTTTTTTTTGTATTTATTATTGTCAGGAGCAGGTTCTTATGATAGAAAAATCCTGAAAATCTTATGGAAATGGGAGGAAACGGGATTGCGCGTACGAAGTCGCGGGCAGAAGCTAGTGATATACCTATATAATTTGATGTACCTAATATCTAAAATATTTGAATACCTGGGCTGGAAGTCCCAACTATAGGTAATGATAACAGAAATGGGTCGCTATTTCAGTAATTTCATTAATAGATTCTCAACTTCTAACCCAGTACGATCCTTAAATATCACTATTTTGTGTTCTTTTTTTGTGAATAATCTAATGGGTACTTGCCTTTTTTCGAACTGTCAAAATTACAGTTTTTTATGAATTGTGTACGAGATTGTGTATTGTGACGTCACGTTTTTTTAGCGTCAAACAAGATATTTATTTCTTAAAAATTTGCTTAAAGAGTATTAAAAATAGGTTGCTCACAAAATCAATCAATGAAAATGTGTTTATTTTTAATATATTATTGTATTGTACAGTCGAAGTAATTTATTATTGATGAAGGCAAGTACCCAATGAAAGCACAGTTTATTTAAATAACCATCTTTAAAAAATCTAATTATTGGCTGTATCAAAATAGCATTAAATTAACATAATAATGAAAATCATTTGGCATCACTTGTAAATAAATATTTCTAAATTCTTTAAAATATACATGAGAATATAACTTTAATAAATACGTAACATGAAAAATAAACATTTGTTGCTGACCCTTGGGATAAAACAAAAAAGGGATACCTTGTAACAACTTTTCTTACCAGACCTCTTTAGTGAAACTCCAAACTTTTTTATTTTATTTTTTAATTCTTTTTCTTTTATTACAGGTAACACGCTGTAGTGATCTCCGTTCGAAGTAAAAATAAGGCAGTGTCTACATTAGTGTTTCGATCTTTATAAAAGGACTTTAAAAATAAGGGTTGTTGAAAGTGTGAACTATGCCTAATTTTATCATCATATTATATTTTTTGTATCGTTTTTGAATCTAATTTATTAATGCATGTCAATAGCTGTTATATTTTAAAGACTTATAGATAAGAATGTTAGTCATGTAGTTCTATTATTGTGTAAAAACTTCCTTATTCATATGAAATATGAAATTGCCGTAGTATATGTATGTAAATAGAGTATTTAAGTATACGAAAAATGTACAGGATAGCCAAAAATTTATGTATATTGTAAATACAGTGTTAAAGTAAGAATAAAAGTATTTACGTCAATTATGTAGTTCTAAAATGAACTTTGAGCCCATTGACGAAAGTACTTTTTTCTATAAACGTATAGTCATTAGATATAGGGTGTTCTAAGTAGAAATGTGTTATGCTAAAAATATTTTTGTAATGTAAAAAAAATAATAATATAAAAATGTAAATAATATGCAAAATGCCTTGTAAGTAACGTCAATGGATAAACTACGTGCAATTCGCTGTCATTATATTTAATAAAGTGTACCAAAGATTCGTGTTCATTTTATTTGTTTTAAAATCCTTACTAACAAAATGTTCAAAGTTATTTTCAGACAACCACATTTGTATTCATTAGGTTTTGGGTTCGATTCCCACTATCGTCACATTTTTTCCATAGTACAAAGCACAGATAACATAACATCACGCCTTCTATCCCCGGACGGCTAGGCAGAAGTGCACATTACGGCACATAATGCCACTCTACAATGTAACACCAACTTTTCACTATTTATGTTATGTGTTCCATGTAATAGGGGGTGACCCTATTGCCATATACCGGGCACAATTCCAGACTCCGTGCTACTATTGAGAACTGTTTAAAAAATCCAGTAATACTTAATTTAATTCAGTGCACAACAACAAAGTTAATACAAAGCACAGCAGTCAAAATAATAAATTGAACTATTGTACCATTACAATAATTCTTAATTTTTTTCAAAAACCTTCACTCTTAAGCCGTAAAAAAGTTTTACAAATAATAATATTTAAAGCAACCATTCAAACACCTACTTTCCGCTTAAGATGCAGTAACATTTAAACTTATTCCATTTTAGAATACAGGTATCGAAATTCAAATATTTGAATACAAAATTTTGAATGTAGAACTTTGAATTTCTAGAATACAATCATGACAATCGGATATGCTGTCTGAATAAATTCGAATTTAGAATGAACAGATTGAAATATCGTCGTTAATGGTAAGCCAGCTGATTTTTAGTAGAAATATTTTTCCATTAATACATAATATAACGTCTAAAGTAAATTGATTTTTAGGTAAAATAATAGTTAATCTAAGATTAATGATTCATATAAATATATTATCTATTCGTCAGTTAAGGTATTGTTACACAGTACACACGTCAATTTCAATCACAAAAGCATGCTTCACACATAGTAGCATATTATGTGTCGGAATGTACGGCAGACGGAACGGTTGGTGCGGTGGCTGGGCAACTGGCTACCGCGCAACGTGTCCCAGATTCAATTCCCGTACGGAGCAATTCTTTGTGTGACCCTTAAATTGTTTTATTCGGGGTCTAGATGTCAAATATGTGATCTTATATGTTCACCCACGATACAGGAGAATGTGGGGCAACGTTCTTTAAATATCTAAACATAAAAATGTAGCTCAAAATTACCATGCTCATTTTGGGCATGCTTGCGGATCGACAAGCAGTAATTTTTTTGTACATTTTTGAGCATGTTCAACAGAACGCCTTATAGCATGCTATTCTAGAGCATGTGTAACAGCACCTGTGTTATAAGTACCACGTAACAATTTAAGCTTAATTCTACAAAACGTAGACATTTACAATTCAAAAGTATTACTGGGAATTTTGAAAATCGAATATAGTCCAACATGAACGAACAATTCTCAATAATATTAACAAACAGAATTGTAAAATGGTGTGCATTAAATTCAAAACTTTATGAACAGTTCTACTTTTGAATAAGTCGCCAGAATTTAATTAATTAATGTGAACTCATAAAGAAATTTGTATATTAATTCAGAATTCGTTCTAAGTTTAAATATTTCAATAACTAATAATATTTTAACAGAATTTCGAATATTTTAAAATACGAATTCCGTATAATTATTGTACAATTGAAAATGTGTATTGTCAATACACCTGATATGATTTTTTAAGAAGAAACAGAAAAAATACGAGTTTTTTACTTATATTCTTAGTCGTCGTATCACGTTCCAAAAAGTGGATTCAAATATTCGACATGTCCCAATGCAGAGACGAACTTCTGACTTCGAGAAGGAAACACGTGTCACTAATCGGTGAAGTTCCTCATAACTGCCCAACGTCTGGCACAGATTATATAGACAAAACCACTACTTGCAAGTTTTTAGAAGTGCTTAGCCAGAAGTAGATGCTAAGTTGTAATTTGAGTTTTATGTGTTAAGGTTTTAAGTTTAGTTTTAATTGAAGACGTGAGATTTTAGCCACGATAAGAGGAGCAACAAATGAGATTGTTAATCAATTACCGTTGGTTTTTATAATAACTATCGTGAAACATACAAAATTAACTAAAAATGGTGGGTTGCTCACGTGAATACACTGAGAATAGCTCTACTAGTTTCGAACCACAGAGGGGTTCTAGCCTACTGTAGGCTGCGCGACATTGCTGTGACCGCGCACGCTGCTCATGACCGTTGGTCTAATACACCATCAACATCAGAGACATCTCAAGTAAGTTGCCTAACATGTAGGAAACTAGTTAATTGTGTCATCATTAACAAATAAAAAGAGCCTCAAAGAGCCATCAGACTATCACTGATGGAGCCCAGTGGGGCTGATGCCGATACAGAGCTGTGGAGGACTTAACGGGTTACCGGAGCTCCGGCTCGAAGTGCAGGAGTAGGAACGGGGTGTTTTTTAGTCAGTAAGAGTCTGTCACTCCCTCTCGTTTCACCCGGGCGGGAGAATGCATTGGATGATTTTTTCCCACACCAAAAAAAAATCTACAATCGATACTAAAAAAATTTACGACAACTGACATAATTTTGAATCGTTACAAATCGTAAACTAAATAGAGAGAGAGACAACAGTAAAATCAAAGACATCCTGTAAATTACTATTTATTGTCATTATAAATAAAATAAACTAAAATAAAAATTACGCTACCACTAAATAAACACCACGTATCAATGATTTAAATGAAGAGACGATTTTAAAAATTCAATTCGATTTGAAATAGAGAGCTCTGTGGTTGGATTGTCGTCATAATTTTTTTATCCAATCAGATTTCTCTTTGAACACATTTGTACGGCATCGCTTGCAATCAGATCCAATCAGATCCAGAACTATTCACTCTCATCTAGTGCTAACGCAGAGAGACTACTAATAATTTGTTTGTATTGTATTCACAATTTTTATATTAGTATACCTACATAATATGGTTTCGGGTTTTTTCTAGATACATCTGACAAATAAAATGTTGCATATTTAACTTTATACAGATACTAGCTACTTCCGCGCGGTTTCACACGCTCTGCTCAGCGCCTATTGGTCGTACCGTGATGGTTTATAGCCTATAGCCATCCTCGATAAATGCGCTATCCAACACAAAAATAATTATTCAAATCAGACTTGTAGTTACGGAGATTAGCGCGTTCAAACAAACAAACAAAATAACAAACTCTTCCGCTTTATATAATAGTATAAGAGTATGAAATATAATAGGACTGTTATTCCCACAGATATATTAAAGAAGTTATTCCCCTACACCAGAAGATGACACTACATTTAAATTATTTAGAAAAAATATTTGGTACCCGAAATCTCAAATTGGCTAACGTCTATCTCTCTTATCGCCAGATAGCTACTAATCCAAAAATAAATAACACCAAACTATACTCAACCTCTACTTAACCGTAATTTGGACGTAAACAATCTTTAGTTAATTAGTTTAACGAAGAAAAATGGCCGCCGTGGTCACGTGATGCAATTTACCTGATGGCTATAATATGATCGTTTAAAAACCGCTTACGTACGCCATGATGCAAACAAGTTAATGAGATTAATGTGAGCCAGCTGATATTTCCAAGATATACTCGGCACAAGGTCGGTATATAACCTATTTACTAGAAAAACTAAGGTTGTGGTGTTGTGATGACACATATTTTTTAATTTACTTACGTCAATCTGCTACTGGGAGAGATTTTATGTTCTGTAATATTTATCATAGCATAACATCACGCCTTTTATCTCTGAAGGGGTTGGCAGAGGTGCACACTACGGCACTTAATGCCACTGTACAATGTAGCACCCACATTTCACTATTTACGATATAAGTCCCATGTAATATGGGGTGCGCCTATTGCCATATTCTGGGCACAATTCCAGAGTCCGTGCTACTATTGTGACATTTTTTAAAAACCCATAAATTCTTTGCCCAACCCGGGAATCGAACCCAAAAATTATTCCCAAGTTTTAATAAGAGCTAGGTTTTAGGAGTTTAATTCTATGCGCTCTATGGCTCGCCTCAAAGAGCTATCAGACCACCACGGATGGGGCCCAATAGGGCTGATGCCGATACGGAGCCGTGGAGAACCTAACGGGTTACCGGGGCTCCGGCTCGAAGTGCAGGAGTAGGAACGGTGTGGTTTTTAGTCAGTAAGAGTCTGACACTAAGGCGGGAGAAATCATCCCATAATTTTCCTCCTTAAAAAAATGCGTTCTATGGTACTAACCACTTTTTGACGAAAAGTAGGAACCGTAAAATAAAATCAATACCCATTTCATATACTCAGGCCAATTAAATTCAACAAGCATACCCACTACACTCAGTTCAAATGTACCTACAGTATCTCGAATTCTCAATCCAACTACACATGCAACGCTAACAGCTTGGAAAGTTAGCAGATCGAAGCAGAAGTCCAGCTGTGCCAAATCAATTAGTACGACGTCTGGCTACCGAGCTCCAATATTCATACAACCGTGCTTTATAGGTAAACATGGCGCCTGGCGCTTGTTTGAATCACCAAATCCACAGTCGTAGATAGAAATCGGCTCGACCGAAGTGATACCACGCCTCACAGAAAACTAGCGTGAAACAAGGCTTGTGTTGTATTTTGCCATTTAAATGAGGTTACCGAAGGTCCATTTCCCCAATCCCCTATCCTTGTAACTCCACATTATCATTTTGAGTATCCATAGGTAGTGCCATCACCGATTACTGGCCATCAGGTCTATAGTTTATATGTTCGTAGTATAGGATATGTTCGTCTGATCGTTTGCTGGCCTAGAAATATTAAAATTCCGTACACACAATGAAGTAAAAACAAACCCTTAAAATATCTAGATAATTAATGCTCTCCAATTTTCTGCTTATAACAGTAAACAAATTACACTCGTTCCGATAAAAATGTATCCGTATTATCCCACCGGCTTTCGTCGGCTCGGAAATTAAAAACGATTGGATCAAGAGGACAAGGTTCTCACATTTTATGAATATAGCAGATAATTGAAATTGACTTTAAAAATGATTTTTAATCATGATTATCACAGAGATTTATTATCACACAAAAATAACTATGTTGAAGGATGGCGTGAGCGATATGTTGAGCCCACACCATCGGCGATATGTTGAGCCCGCATCATCGTCACACATATCGGTAGAAGTAAGTGTGTTTTGTATTATTGCATAAGCCGGTAAACGAGCTGACAGATCACCTGATGGTAAGCAATTGGCACCGCCCATGGATACCTGAAACACCAAGGCGTTAGAAGTGCGTTACCGGCCTTTTGGGGATTTTGAATTTGAAGATTGTTGGGGATTCGGGGGTTGGGAAGAGTGTGGGGGTAATTGGGCCTCTGGTAACCTCACTCACACGACGAAACACAACGGAAGCATTGTTTCACGTCGGTTTTCTGTGAGGCCGTGGTTTCACTCCGGTCGAGTGGGCCCATTCGTGCAGAAGAATGGCTCTCCCACACTTGGAAATGTGTCGCTTCAGCAGAACAAAAGAAGAATCCAACAGCAGATACGTACTAAAACACTTAGCAAAAACATAACCAATTAACTTCAAGAGAAAAGCTTAAAATTGACAAACGATGTCCAACACTCGCCAAATAGTTCTAGAACTAATAGTTTTCTAGATAGAAAGGTGGCAGCACCATCGTTTTTAGGTTACGTAACTGACTACACATAGATATGAACCGCCTATACACATTATTTGAAAGCCACTGCCTTACGTGATTTCCGGCAAAAGACCTCTCAATCATTTATTTATATGAGTTCACCACACATGTCTGCTGTTACATACGATGTGACTAAGCACTGGATATAAGTTAACAAAATTAATGTTTCGCGAACAGTTCGTACTTTTATATTTCCTCTTATAGAAGTCTTAAGTTTAATATAGACGTGGTTTTAGCAGTTCAATGAATTTGTCAAGATAGAGAGAGCTGTACCTATCGCTGTACCTATTCATCATCATCACTATAGCAGCTATAAGGTATCTAATACTAAGCATA